ATACGACACCCAAATCCCCTCCCCCCCGTAATTACGCCACTGAATCTTCGTGCTCAGTGTAAGTTATACTCTGTTCCAAAAGAGAACGGTCACTTTTGCGCATACGACTGACAGCTGCGGCAGTGCCGAGGCCAAATTTCCCCCTCCTTGCTAGCCGACGATACTCAAAGACGTTGACGAACCTGTACGATTAGCGGTACGCACGACTGCTGTTGTAATTAGTAATCACCGTATTAGTAATGCGACTAATGCGCTATACCCGCATACCGCGATTGCGACGTAACTTTTAATAAAAATTATTTAAAATACAAATACTAGGAATGTATTTAAATACTTTTTTATTTTACTATTCTACTAGTCAGCTCGCTAATTAATATTATTTATTTAATTAATTTAAGTTGGATTCCAAACATTTATGAACGAATAAATATTATAAATAAAATACTATAACATTAAAATAAAAAATGTGACAACTGACGAATAATTCGTGTTTGAATTTTCAAAAGTATTTTATTTTCGAATACAAATACGCCCAAGACAGTATTTAAATACATGTATTCAAATACTTTACAACACTGTTGATCTATCACTTAGCAATTTTTKTCAAAGAACATTTTTCATTAAATCTTAACACTCATATTTTAGACAAAAGTAATAAGATTAATGAAAGATCATAATAACACAAACATGATGTAGGTAATAGTCAACTAATAATAATAATCGTACAAATATAATATAATCATATTAAAAAAATAAAAATAAAAATATAGTATTAATCATTGTAAAAAAAATAAAAATAAAAATATAATATTAATCATAGTAAAAAAAAAAATAAGACAAACATAATAATAATAGTCAAAAATAATAATACAATCACAACAATCATAGTCAAAAATAATAATAAAAATATAATATTAATCATAGTAAAAAAAWAATAATAAAAATATGATATTAATCATTGTAAAAAAATAAAAATAAAAATATAATATTAATCATAGTCAAAAATAATAATACATAGTTTACAAATTTATTTACTCGTCTGAAAGAGGTCTGACGTTGTTATCTGAGTCCGAGTCATCGATAGCCACAGTTAAAACACATGGTTCTCGTTCAGCCATCAACACATCAACGACGAAGTCCATGTTCCATAACTTGTCTTTTTCGCCAACTACATGTTTAACAAAATTTTTCCACATGTCAGAATCCACTCTTTGGATGCCTTCGATTAATAACCGGTTGACATCATGAAGCTTGAAAATTGAATTATTTATTCTGACGTAGTTTTTTACTCTCTAGACCATGCGAGCTCAATCGGATTGAGCTCACAATRATACGGTGGTAATTGAAGTACACATTTATTGTGTGTCTTGACTATTTCATCAATAACATATTTGTTGTAAATTGGCTTCAGTGTATTGACAATTGGAATAAGCTCTCGAATAACCATAGAAGGATCTATAATCTCCCCTTTGCTCTCGAGCCATGCGACAATATCGGCTTTCCTAGAATTTGTAGTTGGTGCCTTGTCCTGTCTTACGGAGTGATAATGAGCGTCATCCATAACAATCACCGCATTGTCTTTGAGTCTAGGCAAAACACTTTCCATCCATTCACGAAAACATTCACCATTCATTTCATCATGATAATCTTGAGTGTTTTTTTTTGACTCAAWGCACAACAAACTGTCAGGGACGTATCCGTCTTCGGAACCTATATGACAAACGATAAGACGTTTCCCCTTACCACTTGGTTTTACTGCACCGGTTGTAAGGCCCTTCGAAGTCGCATCTCTAGCTGATTGAACCGGTTTATYGCACCAAACTTTGTATTGAACGTCACCAGCATTGACCCAAGTTTCGTCCAAGTAATAAATAARCCGACCTTCCTCTCGATATTGGCGTATTGTCCTCAAATATCTCCTCCGCCATGAAACGATTTCCATTTTCTCGAT